TCTGTGGTTGTTGAGATAGGCCCTGTTGCATTTGTGATTGTTGAGATAGGCCCTGTTGCATCTGTGGTTGTTGAGGAAGTCCCTGTTGCATCTGTGTCTGTTGAGGAAGTCCCTGTTGCATATGTGGCTGTTGAGAAAATCCCTGTTGCATCTGTGGCTGTTGAAAAAATCCCTGTTGCATCTTTGGCTGTTGAGGAAGTCCCTGTTGGACTAGTGGTTGTTGAGATAGTCCCTGTTGCACCTTTTGTTGTTGTGATGGCCCCTGTTGAACCTGTGGTTGTTGTGATAGCCCCTGTTGCACCTGTGGCTGTTGAAGGAATCCCTGCTGCATCTGTGGTTGTTGAGAAATTCCCTGTTGCATCTGTGGTTGTTGAGAAATTCCCTGTTGCACCTGTGGCTGTTGAGGAAATTTCTGTTGCACCTGTGGCTGGGATAGCCCCTGCTGCATATGTGATTGTTGAGATAGTCCCTGTTGAATCTGTGGCTGCTTAGGAAATCCTTGTTGTATCTGTTGTTGAAGAGAATGGCTCTGTTGCAGTCCTGCCACCATTTGTGATTGCTGTGAAAGACTCTGATGCATTTGTGTTTGCTGAAGATTTCCTTGTTGAAACTGCAAGTGCTGAGGGAGTACTTGCTGAACTTTTGGTTGTTGTGAAAGTCCTTGCTGCATTTGTGGCTGTTGAAGGTATCCTTGTTGAAGCTGTGGTTGTTGAAGATGACCCTGCTGAAGCTGTTGAAGTTGAGCTTGTTGCAGATGTGGTTGTTGAGAATATCCTTGTACCTGTGGTTGCTGTACAACTGGAAGTAGTGCCTGTTGTTGAGAAGCTTGTTGAATCTTTTCTACCTGGGCCTGCTGTTGAATATGTTGGCGTTCTCTTTTCAATGATGATATCTGATTGCGAATAACCATAGCCACAATCCTTACGTCCTCATCCATTATGATCCCCGTCATTTGCTGAAACATGAAATTTACTTCCACATTTTTACTTTGAATGAAATGTACACTCCAATTTCAAAAATGACACTAAAGTATCTTTTACATATTTTAATCAAACAAAGATGGAATTCACTCCATAGCTAGCATGTCTAAGATTTACTGCAATAAGATACTATTATAAAAATTCCTTATATAAATATTTTACACTTAACACTGTTGAAAATTCACAATTCTCTTTAAAATAAAGAAGTATTCTATAATCACACAATAACACTATGAACAATCATTATGTGCCTTTGAAGTCATTTTCAAATTCTTGTTTAGATATACAAGAGAAAATGGTTAACATTATTCAGCATGGTAAATTTTGAAGTCCAATATCAGTCTTAAGAAAGCACATAAGCATTGACTAATACATGTTTGCTGTTTATAAATGAAGTAGTAGTTATACAATCTTCAGTTCTCTAGATGATTCAGAAATCATAACAGGCCAGAATGGATTATTGATCTTCATGTTCAATAGCATTTTTCTAATATTGTGATGTTCTCGTATTCACTTCTTGTGGTTATTACAGAATATTAAAATTGTCTACAAACCACAAAAGTGAATATTTAACACTTTAACAGCTTGCTGCACTGACATTTCTTTGATCATTGTCAAAAGTAATTTATGTATTTTTGTGGTTTTAACACTTTGAATTCCTTCAAACAACTTTCTAATCACTGTATCTTATGACATGATTTGTTATCACTAGTGTCCAATGATAAAATCAGTTAGAGCAGCACTGGAAGAAAGCTATAATACCAATCTATTATTAAAAAAACACACCAGTAACATAACTAGTCAACATCAATAAATGGTTTGACAAGCTGGTATAGAGGATATACACATGACATCATGCGTAGGTTGGCTTTGTTTATTCTGCCATACTGAAAGTAAGAACAAAATGGCAACAGTGAACTTAGCAATTACATGTTTAGAACTGAATTGTGTAATAATGCCAACTGGTTGTGTTGCTGTTAGTTGTACAAACAACCGAAAGAAAAATTCTGAACTATCGTTCTACAGATTCCCAGCCGATGAAGAGAGAAGAAATAAATAGGCCACTGCAGTGAAATTAGTGGTAATGACATACCTACAAACATTTTCATATTACATTAAAAGCATTTTATTTCAGACAATGAAAATATCATGAATAGTAATACCAGCACCACAAAAGCTTCAAGCTATGGGCTTGAACAGAGAACATTTTTTAAGACAGACCCAGACAAGGCCTAATATAATACTCCATCCTAGCCCACAATTATGATTATATACATATACAAGCGTTTAGCCTGTCAAAAATGACGAGGCAAGTACTACCACCCCATAGTATACCCTAACCTCACATTTGATAGCTAACTGAAATACATACATTTTGTGAAATCAAGCTTGACCAACAAAGAGACAGAAAAGTGCAGTTGAGGCAGGCAAACATCAGTAAATTCCTTTGTGAGCCAATCAAAATTAAGATCATTCATGAAATGAATTTGTGACGTATTCATAGAATTATGATTATTAGTAAGAATCAGTTATATTAACAACTGGTAATATATAGAAAAGACAGTGCATTTTGGTAACACCACATTCCAACAATGGCTTTTATGTCATGCTGCTTAGTAACAAAAGTATAACCTAATATTGTTGTTAGTCGATATTACCACAGACATTATCCGTTGTGACAATAAGTTGACAACCTGGACTGATAATGGTATTGTGATATTTAATTCATTATTGTTTAATAGTGTGAAAACTATTTATTTATATTTATATATAAATTCCATGTGTGTCACATCACACTTGGTTTCTCAAAATAGAAGGAGTCATAAAAGCCAAAATGCATTTATCCATTACGATTTTAGTGATGGGGCTACAAGGGGGGGCCATGAGGGGTGTGTGTGCGCCATGAAAGTGTAGTGAGTGTTGGCATAATGAGCCTAAAGTAAAGACATAGTGTGGGATCACCTAGCCTAGAGCCAATTGCATAAAATTTATCATAAAAGTAAAAATTTTGATTCAGTTTTAAACTTATATTGTTTCTGAGCTATTTTTTGTTATATTATCAGCATTTTTAATAAAAACAAACCTTTATATCAATGGAGTCTGTAAATTAAGAAATCAACAAATATTTTTCCAGTTTTGTTGTCTATATACATGTCATTTTATACTTTCAGTACATCACCCAAATGTGTTGATGATATCCCATCTATCAGACAAAATCCAAACGCCGATGTCAATCTAGTCAGCCGTCATGGAAAATCACTAAAAAATCAATCAAATAAGGGTACGAAGCTGAGTGCTTACACCCACAACGTCTCAGCGTCTTTCATTGTCTATAGCCAGTTGTGTGAAGGCAGTTACCCTTAAATTTCTTAAAGTAGAAATGAATTGAAATGGAGCCATCCTAATATTTCTACTAATTAAACTCCCAACCTCCACCCTTAGAAACATATATTAAAATGAACTATAAGATATTAAATATATTCATTTAATAATGTAATAATTACTATATTAGAAAAAATCTACAATACAAATTTCTTAACAGAAAGAGAAGAATATCGTATTCTGAAAGAAAAAACTCTTTTACCTTTATGGATTAAATCAGGACTTTCAAAATAAAACTACTGAAGTTTATTAGTAAAGATTCCTGTATCAAAAATTTATTTCAAATAAATATTTGTTGAAATAAACAAAATAAAAATAGAGGTAAAGTTACAAAAACAGAAAGAAATGGATTAGTTTTGAAATTTTTTGTAAAAATTTGGATTCTGTACTTGACAGATCTGTTAATCTGGTGAAAGTTATAATAAAACAAGTATCTGAATTAACAAATACAAAACTCAAATATCTGTCAAAATATCTGTTCAACTTTGAGTTGAAAAATATCCATGTTAAAGACTTAATTATAGATGTAATTAAATTTAGGTTAAAATGCAATAGTATATCATACTCCATTATGTAAAGAAAAGAGAGAAATCTTATATAGTAATTGATTCTAAACATAAAGTTTATAATGATTTATATTTACCTTCCCTGATCCATAAAAGTATTCAAGAAGATATTTTCTCCATAAAATCGTTTCAACTGATAGAAAGTTTTAGATATGATAAACCTATAGGACCTCTTCTCTTTAACTGTAAAAAAATTCATTGAATAATTTAATCAAATAGAAGTTGACAACTTACCTTGTAACTGTAATAATGGTGTTTTTAAAGATGTCTTTCATAATCATATAGTTACAGGAAATTTAGAAATTGTCAAAGATAATGAATTACAATCAGTATTAAAGAAAAGTACTGAATACAGATTTTAAAACACACACAAAAATATGAAATATTAAACGACCTGGAAAAAATATTGGTGATTATATTCTTAAAATAAGTAAACGATCCTATTATCCGCCATGTTTCATTTTTGAATGGAAATTATATTTTATTAATATTTTTAATACCTTTTTGTCAGGGTGAAGGTTGGGAGTTTAATTAGCAGAAATATTAGGATGGCTCCATTTCAATTCATTTCTACTTTAAGAAATATAAGGATAACTGCCTTCCCACAACTGGCTATAGACAGTAGAAGCTGAGACGTTGTAGGTGTAAGCACTCAGCTTCGTACCCTTATTTGATTGATTTTTTAATGATTTTCCATGACGGCTGACTAGATTGACATCGGCGTTTGGATTTTGTCTGATATATGGGATATCATCAACGCATTTGGGTGCTATTACCACAGACATTACCCGTTATGACAATAAGTTGACAACCAGGACCGATAACGGTATAGCGATATATATATATATATATATATAATATACAAGATAGACCGCTTTCTTCGTTAATATATATATATATATATATAGATACATATAACATCACAGATAATCGCTTAATTCGTCAATGTATATACATATAACATCACAAATAACCGCTTAATTCATCAATATATACATATAACATCACAGATAATCGCTTAATTCATCAATACATATAACGTGAGAGATAACCGCTTTGTTCATCAATATATACACATAACATCATAGATAACTGCTTAATTCATCAATATATACACATAACATCACAAATAACCGCTTTATTCATCAGTATATACATATAACATCACAGATAATCGCTTAATTCATAAATATATACATACAACATCACAAAAGACTACTTAATACATCAATATACATATAACATCAGATAACCGCTTGGTGAATAAATCAGTGAAAGCCAAAGCTTGGGTGGTGAATTTTCACGTCTTCATAAACCTTCCAGTAAGAAACGAGTCTGACGTTAAGACGCAAACTGTTACTATTGGGAAAACACAATTAAGGGAAAGTTTCACCGTCTTTGTGGGCTCATAATTATTGCTGTTCCGTCTTGCCTCATTTACATAACTCACAGTTGTGATTTTAATAGAAGTTGAGCTTGCGAGGTATTAAGTTCAGGATTTCTGAGATTAATGGTCATAGTTTTCATATGTTCGTTCATTCTAAGTTCCTTAAAATATTCAAGGTTATTTTTAAGAATCCAAAACGAACGGACACTTAGATTTTTAGAAACTCTGGCCTAAATAGCTCAACGATTTGGGATGATTATTGGAAGCTAGGCTGAGCGATCACTTAGAGCTTTGGAAAACTTGACTCCTAGATCAATATTTTAACATAATTGTTAGACTCCAAGATGAAGGATCACGTAGGGTCTTTAAAAACTGTGGGTAATAGCTAAAATATTAAATACAATTTTTACAGCTCAAGAATAAAGAACACTTAGAACTTAGGAAAGTTTGGCCTATAGCTCCACAATTTAAGGTAATTCTTAAAGCTCTGAGTGAGTGCACACTTAGAACTTAGGAAATCGTGGCTTATAGCTCAACAACTTAAGGTAATTCTTAGAACACAGGATGAGAAGACACTTAGAACTTTTGAAATTCTGGCCTATAACTTCAAAATTCAAAATAATTGTTAGAGATCA